CTTTCTTAATTGTCCTCTACTGCAAATTATCAATGCATCCCTCAGGGAAGGGAACTTTCCATCCTGTTTAAAAGAAGCCACAGTTAGACTGCAGTTGAAAATGTTCTGTCTGAAACCCCCGGACCTTAATAACTACAGACCAGTTTCTAATCTTCCTTTTCTGAGGTCAAAGTGTTGAGCAGGCAGTTGCCCTCCATCTCCACATAATATTGGATGATGGGCACTACCCTGACCTATTTCAAACAGGCTTCAGAGCAAGATATGGAGTTGAGATTGCCATGGTCAACACTGAAGAGAGGAGTGTATTCCCCCAGGACACTTATGGTAGGACCTTTGGGGGATGTTTACTCCAACCAGCTAGAACCCAAATGGCAGCCGTCACTCAGAGGATCTAAGGGGAGGACATAAAAGGATTATACAGTAGCAGCCATCCTGTAGGTAACCTGTACCTGAACCAGGTCAAAACCAAAAGTGACACTAAAACGGTGGCAGCTAGTTTTAACCATTGATGGAAAGTATTTTAAATTGTGTATTTTATTTTATGTGTTGATAGTGGTTGTTTATAACTTTTATGTGATACTGTTTTATGCTCACTCATGTACTGTTGATGCTTATACTGCACTTGCAGTGCCTTGTTAGCTGCCCCAAGTCCCTTTTTGGAAGATGGAGGCAGGATACAAATAATGATGATGATGATGATTGATCATTTGCCTGAAAACTAATTGGCAGCCAGTGGAGTGACTTTAGTATAGGGGTGATATGCCCTCTCTCAGATGTTCCCGTAACTATTCTTGCTGCCATATTTTGAACTAACTGGAGTTTCCAAACTTGGTACAGACATAGCCCATTGAAGTTGTGCACTACCCTCTTTAGGTTAACCAGTTCTAAGAAAGGGTGCAACTATTAATGTATTTTAGTTTTTGAACCATGTGTTTTAATATATGTATGTTAGGGTAATGCGTTTTAATATATGTATGTTGTTGTTCTCAGTTTATGTTGATGTGTTTTGACTGTGTTGTGCTCCACCTCAAGCTGTGAGAAGAGGGGGCTAAAATAACAACAGCAACAACAACAGCAACCCCTTCTGCCACTCTCTGCCTGCCAGCATTGCTTTCCCCTCCAACAAATGCCATGGAAAACTGGCACCAGATTGTCTCAATCAACATGTTTACAATATTTTTGTCTTCAGGGAGGCAAAGGTGCATATCTTCAGCATTTTCGTTATGTGTTCAGACCTGCATTGATTCTTGTCATCGATCCTTATCATTGTCATAACTCATCCTCTGGAACCATAAAGAATTAGATAGAGAGGAGTCGGATTGCCAAGAAAGTGTGCTTTCAGATAAGGGTGTCCTCGCTGAACCTAAAGAGGTGGAAGATGCCTTAATGCTGTGGGATTATGGGATTTGTAGTTTGGTGAGGCACCAGAATTCTTTGCCAGAGAATAAGGACTTTGTAAAACTACAACTTTCATGATTCTATAGCATTTAGTCATGGCCAATAAAGTGGTGTCAATGTGCATTAATTCTGCAGGATCGATGTTCCCCCAGTCTCTAAGATACCTATAATAATCATGTATTATTCATGGATTTTTACATAAGAACTTTCTTAACATTTTACATGAGAATAGGACACTGGGTTCATATTGTCATTATATTTTGGGGTATCCAAATCTTACAAAACTTGCAGAGCCAGCTTTGGTAGACTAGAATAAGCAGCATTTCTCACTTCGAGACCCTCTTCTAAAATAGTGGCCCCATCTATATGGCCATATAATGCAGTTTCATATTGCAGTTTATTTGCATTGAACTGCACTGTACGAGTTCACAATGCCATGTAATGCATTTCAATGCAGTTAAACTGCATTACGAATGCATTATATAGCAGTGTAGATGGGGCCAGTGTCTCAGAAATCCCTTGACTTGCCCCAAAGCTAGATGTGTTTTTGCCTATCTGTCTGTATGTCTTAAACAAGTCAATCTATTCAGGATTCCTTTACTCCAATGGCGTTTCTTCTTCCTCTTGGCTAAAACAGTTGCACTTTTGTTTTGGGGTTTCCTTTAATATTTTAAAACAGCTGTAATTATAATACATCCATTGACTTGGAGCAGCAGGCTCACTCAATGAGAAATCTCAGAGCCTTTAGCTAGGGATGATCTTTTGGCTTCTGAAGGACAGCTTTTCCCTTTGATCACTTTAAATAAAAGCCAAAATCAGCCTTTGTGTTTTTATTATTAAGTTACAGCAGGAAAAACAGTGAATGAAAACCTCAAAAGTACAGCATGAAAAGAGAAAAGAAAGGGGAGGAGAGGAAAAAATAGCTGCATCTTTAAGACAAAGAGCCATCCAGCCATAGATATAGATAAATATGATTCTGTGTAGATATGGTATCATGAAAGGGACCCCATAAAGAAGGACAATTATATGTTGCATATTCCAGAGGAGGCAAACCAAACAATCTCCACATCAATACTGACAAAGAATCAGCAAGAAATACTGTTTACCCGCAAGCATAAAGAAATTACATTATTTATTATTATTATTATTATTATTATTATTATTATTATTATTATTAACTTTATTTGTACCCCGCTAACATCTCCCGAAGGACTTGATGCAGCTTACAAAGGCCAAGGCCCTCAATAAAACAACAACATAACAATACATTATATAACTCATAAGCAAACCAAAAAACATTAAAGCAGTAACAATAAACAATACACCATGGCACATTTAAAAACTATGGCCGGGCCAAATGTAATGGGTACAGTTAAAAGTGCTGGACATGACAGGTGAAATGTAGGATTCTAGGATAGGTGCAATGTGCAGACAGTCTTAAATCTCTAATAAAGTGCGTTTGGGACATGATGCTGGGAGTTTCCTATTCTGGAAAGGCACACTGGAAAGGCACACAGGTCTTCAAGCTCTTCCTAAAGACTGCCAACGTTGGGGCTTGTCTGATGTCCTTGGGGAGGGTGTTCCAGAGTCGGGGGGCCACCACAGAGAAGGCCCTGTCTCTCCCCACCAAGCGCGCTTATGACACAGGTGGGATCGCAAGCAGGGCCTCTCCAGATGAACGGAGGGAACGTGTGGGTTCATATACGGAGATGCGGTCATGCAGGTAGGGGGGTCCCAAACCGTTCAGGGCTTTGTAGGTGAGCACCTGCACCTTGAATTGGGACTGGAAAATGAACGGCAGCCAGTGGAGCTCCTTAAACAGGAGGGTTGACCTCTCTTTGTAAGGCCGCCGCCCACTGCACATATATTAGAAACCAAAACTTTCTCATTACTTTCTTTTCCAGATCACCAGACTGAGCCACAGCAAGGCGTGGCAGGGGGCGGCTAGTAAATAATAAATAGATAGATAGGGAAGGAGTGTTAACTTGGGCCCTCCCTCCAGGTGTTTTGGACTTCCACAATTCCTAATGGCCTCAGGTTCTCTGAGGCTGTTAGGAATTGTGGGAGTTGAAGTCCAAAACATCTGGAGGGAGGGGACTTCCACAATTCCTAATGGCCTCAGGTTCTCTGAGGCTGTTAGGAATTGTGGGAGTTGAAGTCCAAAACATCTGGAGGGAGGGGACTTCCACAATTCCTAATGGCCTCAGGTTCTCTGAGGCTGTTAGGAATTGTGGGAGTTGAAGTCCAAAACATCTGGAGGGAGGGGACTTCCACAATTCCTAATGGCCTCAGGTTCTCTGAGGCTGTTAGGAATTGTGGGAGTTGAAGTCCAAAACATCTGGAGGGAGGGGACTTCCACAATTCCTAATGGCCTCAGGTTCTCTGAGGCTGTTAGGAATTGTGGGAGTTGAAGTCCAAAGCATCTGGAGGGAGGGGACTTCCACAATTCCTAATGGCCTCAGGCTCTCTGAGGCTGTTAGGAATTGTGGGAGTTGAAGTCCAAAACATCAGGAGGGAGGGGACTTCCACAATTCCTAATGGCCTCAGGTTCTCTGAGGCTGTTAGGAATTGTGGGAGTTGAAGTCCAAAACATCAGGAGGGAGGGGACTTCCACAATTCCTAATGGCCTCAGGTTCTCTGAGGCTGTTAGGAATTGTGGGAGTTGAAGTCCAAAACATCAGGAGGGAGGGGACTTCCACAATTCCTAATGGCCTCAGGTTCTCTGAGGCTGTTAGGAATTGTGGGAGTTGAAGTCCAAAACATCAGGAGGGAGGGGACTTCCACAATTCCTAATGGCCTCAGGTTCTCTGAGGCTGTTAGGAATTGTGGGAGTTGAAGTCCAAAACATCAGGAGGGAGGGGACTTCCACAATTCCTAATGGCCTCAGGCTCTCTGAGGCTGTTAGGAATTGTGGGAGTTGAAGTCCAAAACATCAGGAGGGAGGTGACTTCCACAATTCCTAATGGCCTCAGGTTCTCTGAGGCTGTTAGGAATTGTGGGAGTTGAAGTCCAAAACATCTGGAGGGAGGGGACTTCCACAATTCCTAATGGCCTCAGGTTCTCTGAGGCTGTTAGGAATTGTGGGAGTTGAAGTCCAAAACATCTGGAGGGAGGGGACTTCCACAATTCCTAATGGCCTCAGGTTCTCTGAGGCTGTTAGGAATTGTGGGAGTTGAAGTCCAAAACATCTGGAGGGAGGGGACTTCCACAATTCCTAATGGCCTTAGGTTCTCTGAGGCTGTTAGGAATTGTGGGAGTTGAAGTCCAAAACACCTGGAGGGAGGGCCCAAGTTTGCCCAGGCCTGGGCAAACTTGGGCCCTCCCTCCAAATGTTTTGGACTTCAACTCCCACAATCCCTGGCCTCCTTAAGCGAATGAGAGGGAAAAGAAAAGGCCTGAGGCCAGGAATTGTGGGAGCTGTAGTCCAAAACGCCTGAAAGGAAGGTCCAAGTTTGCCTATGCTTGATGTGGATAGATAGATTCAGGAAGGGCTGCTGGGAACTACCCTTCCCGCCATGCCCCGGGCCTCTCCGCGCGGAAGAGCGCGCGCGGGGCAGTTTGTCCCTCGCGGGGCGCCGTAGCAGCAGCAGCAGCAGCAGCAGCAGCACCCGGCGGGGGCGGTTAGCTGTCAGGCGCTGACGGGGGACGGGCGCGCCCAGTTGGTCGCCGCTTCCCCGGCGGCGGCTGAGGCGTCGTCGTCGCTGCTTGTGAAGAGAGGGGAGGGCCTTCTCTCTCCGGCTCCCTCGCTCTTTCTCCGGCCATGGACGAGCAGGCGGGGCCCGGCGTCTTCTTCAGCAACAACAACAACAACAACGCGCTGCTCCTGCCGCCGCCGCCGGCCTCCTCTTCCTCCTCTCCCTCCTCCTCTCAGGCCGAGCCTGGTGAAGCGGCGGCAGCGGCGGCAGCGGCAGCGGCTGTGGCAGCGGCGGGAGGCGTCGTCGGCCCAGCGGGTGCCTCTCCGTCTTCTGTTTCTCCTTCTTCGGGAGCGGCGGTGCCGGCCTCTGCGGCGCGGGCTCAGTACAGCGTCCCCGGCATCCTCCACTTCCTGCAGCACGAATGGGGCCGCTTCGAGGCCGAGCGCGCCGAGTGGGAGGCCGAGAGGGCCGAGCTGCAGGTGCGTCCCTTCCCGGGCAAGGCTGGGCCAGCCTGGGAGTGCCAAGTTTTGGACCAGGCCTTTCGCCCCCTCCTCAAACTACGGCTCCCAGGACCCCACAGCCTTCAGCCCTGGTGGCAGTGGTGTTTATTTAATTTATGTATCATGTTTTTAACAAACAAACAAAATACAAAGTTTGCAAGCTTGGTAGTTGATTAAATGTCCTTTGACCAGTAGCTGGCCACTTGGAGTTCCTCTGGTGTTGCTGGAATGGTTTCATTCTGCTGTGTAACTCATCCTTACCTGCCTCTCCTCTCCCTTTCCCTCCCTTGAATTGCTTTCCTTTTATTAAGGGTTTTTTTTAATCGTGTCAGGAGCGACTTGAGAAACGCAAGTCGCTTCTGGTGTGAGAGAATTGGCCATCTGCAAAGACATTGCCCACACATTAATTCGTTACCTGTTTCTCCTCTCCCTTTCCCTCCCTTCTCAACCATTTATTGAATTGCTTTCCTTTTATTAAGGGTTTTTTTTTTGGTCGTGTCAGGAGCGACTTGACAGTTGCATTGCATTTTTTAACAAACAAACAAAACACAAAGTTTGCAAGCTGGGTAGTTGATTAAATGTCCTTTGACCAGTAGCTGGCCACTTGGAGTTCCTCAGGTGTTGCTGGAATGGTTTCATTCTGCTGTGTAACTCATCCTTACCTGCCTCTCCTCTCCCTTTCCCTCCCTTCTCAACCGTTTCTTGAATTGCTTTCCTTTTATTAAGGGTTTTTTTGTTATCATGTCAGGAGCGACTTGAGAAACTGCAAGTCGCTTCTGGTGTGAGAAAATTGGCCGTCTGCAAAGACATTGCCCACACATTCATTCCTTACCTGCCTCTCCTCTCCCTTTCCCTCCCTTCTCAACCGTTTCTTGAATTGCTTTCCTTTTATTAAGGGTTTTTTTTTTTTGGTCGTGTCAGGAGCGACTTGAGAAACTGCAAGTTGCTTCTGGTGTGAAAAAATTGGACGTTGCCCAGGGGATGCCCAGATGTTTTTATGTTTTTACCATCCTTGTGGGAGGCTTCTCTCGCATGCCCTCATAGTTAAAGCAGTGGTATTCCCCATAGAAATAGTTTTCTAAGATCTACAAAGACACTCGCTGGAACACCTCAGCAAAAGTCCAAAAGTGGCAGGCTCAAACCCAGATCCTCAACCAATGGCTGATACCAAATGAGAGACTCCCCCCTGGGCACACAGAAGACTGGGCGACTTGGAAGGCACTGAACAGACTGCGCTCTGGCACCACGAGATGCAGAGCCAACCTTCAGAAATGGGGCCACAAAGTGGAATCCACCATGCGAGTGTGGAGAAGAGCAAACCACTGACCACCTGCTGCAATGCAACCTGAGCCCTGCCACATGCACAATGGAGGACCTTCTTGCAGCAACACCAGAAGCACTCCAAGTGGCCAGATACTGGTCAAAGGACATTTAATCAACTACCAAACTCACAAATTGTGTATTCTGTCTGTCTGTTTGCTTTGTTCTGTTAGAAATGTAATATAATATGACTGGTTGTCCAGACACGACAAATAATTAAAATTCCCCATAGTCAGGCCCGTAGCCAGGATTTCAATTCGGGGGGGGGGGCTGAGTTTTGGGGGGCCTGAGTCTGAGTGAAAGAGGGTCTACCCTAGCAAACCTTTTGTATGGGATATATTGAGTATGGTGATCAGATCATGATATGAATAAACATAACAGTTTAAATAATGCACCAGTAAGGCCTTTTCGCGAACCACCATGAGAATTTTGGGGGGGGGGGGCTTGGGGGGCTACATGCCTGCCCGTAGTAACCTATGGATGTGAGAGCTGAACCATAAGGAAGGCTGAGCAAAGGAAGCTAGATGCTTATGAACTATGATGCTGGAGGAAAATTCTGAGAGAATTGGTCACTTGCAAAGACATTGCCCAGGGGACGCCCGTATGTTTTCATGTTTTTACCATCCTTGTGGGAGGCTTCTCTCATGTCCCCGCATGGGGAGCTGGAGCTGATAGAGGGAGCTCATCCGCGCTCTCCCCGGATTCGAACCTGCGACCTGTCGGTCTTCAGTCCTGCCGGCACAGGGGTTTAACCCACTGCGCCAACAGGGGCTCCTTTTATTAAGGGTAAAGGTAAAGGTTTTCCCTTGACATTTAAGTCCAGTCATGTCCGACTCTGGGGGGTGGTGCTCATCTCCATTTCTAGGCCAAAGAGCCGGCATTGTTCATAGACACCTCCAAGGTCATGTGGCTGGCATGACTGCAAGGAGCGCCGTTACTTTCCCGCCGGAGCGGTACCTAGGAAACTTTACCAGTCCAATTAGATTTGACGCAGATGACCAAGATGGTTTTTAATATTTTGATAAATGTTTTTAATGTTTATGTATACTTCTATGAATTCTTCTCTCGGCATTGAATGTTTGCCGTATATATGCTGTGCTCCGCCCTGAGTCCCCTTCATGGTGAGAAGAGTGGAATATAAATGTTTTAAATAAATAAATAAATATTGATCTACTTACATTTGCATGTTTTCGAACAGCTAGGTTGACAGAAGCTGGGGCTGACAGCGGAAGCTCACTCTGATCCCCGGGTTTGAACCTGTGACCTTTCAATCAACCTTTTAGCAGCTCAGTGGTTTAACCCACTGTGCCACCGGGGGCTCCTTTTATTATCACACTATTATTATCATGCTTTTATTTTCATAGTTCAGGGGAAGGGCCTTGGGCAAACTTTGGTCCTTCAGGTGTTTTGGACTTCACCTCCCACAATTCCGAACAGCCAGAACACTACGTTCCAGACACTGCTTAATAATTGCCCATAGCTGAGTACTGAGTAGTCAACAAAACCTACTCCAACTAACCAATAGGTTGAGTACTGGTAAACCCGCATGAGGTAGAAAGATGAAATATATGCTTAAATAATTTAAATAGCTTAAAAAGGAAGGGGCCTGAGGCTGTTAGGAATTGTGGAAGTTGAAGTCCAAAACACCCGGAGGACCGAAGTTTGTCCAAAGCTCCTCCCCTAAACTGTTCATCAGGGGAATTGAAGGTTCATGGAATCCCCAGTGCATGGAACCAAAGCTATGGACATCCTCTTTTTGGCAGAGCATGCTAAATAAAGGCCTCCTAAAAGACAGCCCACTGGTGGCGCAGTGGGTTAAACCGCTGAACTTGCTGACCAAAAAGTTGGTGGTGCGAATCGGGGGAGCAGGGTGAGTTCCCGCTGTTAGGCCCAGCTTCTGCAAAACTAGCAGTTCAAAAACATGCAACTGTGAGTAGATCAATAGGTACCGCTTCTGCAAGAAGGTAACAGCTCCTGCTCTTAAACCCAGCTTCTGCCAACCTAGTAGTTCGAAAACATGCAAATGTGAGTAAATTAATAGTTACTGCTTTTGCAGGAAGTTTATGGCTCCTACTGTTAGGCCTAGTTTCTGCCAAGCTAGCAGTTCAAAAACATGCAAACGTGAGTAGATCAATAGGTACTGCTTCTGTGGGAAGGTAACGGCTCCCCCTGTTAGGTCCAACTTCTGCCAAACTACCAGATCGAAAACATGCAAATGTGGGTAGATCAATAGGTACCGCTTCTGTGGGAAGGTAATTGTTTCTGCTATTAGGCCCAACTTCTATCAACCTAGCAGTTCAAAAACATGCATGTGTGAGTAGATCTGTAGGTACCGTTTCTGTAGGAAGGTAACGGTTCCCGCCTTCTGCCAAGCTAGCAGTTCGAAAACATGCATTATTTTGTTATTGTTTGTATTTTATTTGATGTTATTATTTGCTGCATGTATTTCATTTTGTTTTATTGTAATTTTTGGGCATTGCCTTATCTTAGCCGCCCCAAGTCCCCTTGGGGAGATGGTGGCAGGGTATAAATAAAGATTATTATTATTATTATTAGATCAATAGGTACCGCTTCTGCGGAAAGGTAATGGTGCTCCATGCAGTCATGCTGGTCACATGACCTTGGAGTTGTCTACAGACAACACCGGCTCTTTAGCCTAGAAATGGAGATGAACACCACCCCTCAGAGTCTGATACTACTATCCTTAATGCCAGGGGAAATCTTTACCTTTACTAAAAGGACAGCTCCTATGGTTCCTTAGCACTGAGCCCTGGCAGATCAAGTGGTGACCAACTGCACAATGAAGATGCACCCCTCGCTCTCCCTTCTCCTTGTCCTTTGCTTTTTTTCTTCTCATCCATTTCTGAATTCTTCCCTTGCCAATGGTCTCAAAACTTTTGGAGGGAGAGGGGTTCAGCCAGTCCTTATTCTTTTGCCAAACAGCAGTTCTCTTTTACATATGCAGAGTGCCCCTTCAAGTCTGTGGGTGGGGCAGATTCATGCAGGCAGTTGTGGAAGGAGGACAAGAACAAGAGTCCATCCACCCTGTGAAATCAATGCAGTGGGAGCTGTTGTTTGGGGAGGCATCTGCATTCTTTGGCAGAAAAGGCTAAAGACCTTGTAAAACCACAGCTCTCAGGATTCCATAGCATTGAGCCATGTCACTTCAAGCTGTTCTCCTGTACATATGCACAACTGTTTTCCTGTACATATGCAGAGTGCAACTCCTTCAAGTCTATCCTGGGATTCACGCAGGCAGTTGTGGAAGGAGGACAAGAATAAGGGTGCATCCGCACTGTGAAATGAATTCAGCGGGAGCTGTCGTTTGGGGAGGCGTCTGCACTCTTTGGCAGAAAAGGCTAAACACCTTATAAAACTAGCTCTTTTTGCATTGGAATCCTGGGAGCTGTCAGTTCAAGTGATGACAAACTGCATTCATTCTGCCTTGTAGATCCATCCAGGATTATGTCACCTTTATTACAGAGACCAGAATAGAGAATCTATCTGTAGGTTACTTTTAATCGCAGGAGGGTGAAGTTGGCATGTGATTGATGGGTATATTTTTAGGGTAAATTTGCATTGGACTGTGGACCATATGGGTTGTTAGGTATTTTTTATTCCTGAGGAGAGTGTTTTGATGTGTGAAAGAGTGAACCACC